CCGAGGGCTGGAGCACCTCTCCTATGAGGAAAGGCTGAGGGAGTTGGAGCTGTTCGGCCTGGAGAAGAGAAGGCTGCGGGGAGACCTTACAGCAGCCTTCCAGTACCTGAAGGGGGCCTATAGGAAAGATGGGGAAAATATATTCAGCAGGGCCTCTTGTGACAGGACAGGGAGCAATGGCTTTAAACTAAGGGAGGGTAGATTTAGACAGATATACGGAAGAAATTTTTTACCATGAGAGTGGTGAAACACTGGAACGGGTTGGCCAGAGAGGCAGTGGAAGCCCCATCCCTGGAAACATTCAAGACTGGGTTGGATGGGGCTCTGAGCAACCTGGTGTGGTTGAAGATGTCCCTGCTCACTGCAGGGGGGTTGTGCCAGATGACCTCTGAAGGTCCCTTCCAACCCAGAGCATTCTATGATATTAAGATGGATTTAAACCTACACAGAAGACCAGCCTGGAGAGGTGCTGTGGAATGGCTGGCTGGCCGGGGGGAAGCACATGAGCTAGTGTTCTGCATCTGGATCTGTCCCAGGTCCTGAACTGTTCAGTGTCATCATTGACCACTTCAGTGTTGGAATTGAGATTGTAGATGATAAAGTTCATAAAGGATGCAAAACTGGGAAAGATTAGAGATATACTGAAGATAACATCAGCGAATGCTTAGCTTCAAAAAAACCCAACCAACCAGTAAGCACAACTGTAAAAACAACGGTGAATAAAGGGTAAGGTAGAAGTTCTTCGTGACAGGTTCTACACATTCTATAAAATTATAAAGTGAATGTGATTCAGCAGTGTCATGCTGTTGGAGTGTTTCAGATTTTTTTTTTCAATATGTATGAGATTATTCTTTGTAGGAAACCTGAAGTAATTCTTGACCTTTTCTTTGCATTTCAGGACTGTGGGGCGTATTTTGACTCTTTCTCTCTTTTTTTGGGGGGGAGGGATGGGGGAGGTTGGGTTTTGGTTTGTTTTTTGTTTTCTCAAAAACGACTAGTTATGAGTATGAAAGAATAGTGAAATAAGATGACAGTGATGTAAATGATGTATGTTTTAGGCTGAAG